ACCCACTTACAACCAATCGGAACCCGATCTGTAGGGCATGGAACTAAGTCCCATGTGTGCTGATTCATCAAGGCAGAGTATTCTTCGTCCATAGCTTGACACCAATAAGTACTCTGGGAGGCATCCTTATATGTAACAGGCTCAGTGTCGGGTGGGGAAGGGTGGTATAGAGATGTAGAGTAGAGTTTGGGTTTGAAGATACCACTTCGGGCACGGGTTGTCATTGGGTGGCGGGGTGGTGGTGGTGGGGGTGGAGTGGGGATAGGAGTGGATTCGGGAGTGGGGTGTGAGGCTGGGTGGCTCGCGGGCTGTAGGGTGTTCGGGATGGGGTAATGGTGGGATGCTGTAGGGTGGGTTGACAGGTTGATGGGTGAGGATGGAGAGGGGCTGTGGTTGGCCGTAGTGGGCTGCTGGGGTGTTTGGTCACTGATCGTGGAGTGTGGGCAGGGTACGAGTGTGGTGGTTAGGAGAGGTGGGTGAGTGGGTGTAGCTACTGGAGGGACCCCGTGAGCATGGGATGGCATGACGGAGGGACTGACCGGGAAGAGTGGGAGGACACCGAAGAATGACGCAGGACGAGTGTCGGACAGTGCAGGTTGGGAAGACGCATGAGAGTATGGAAACTGGTTTTCTTGGAACTCAACATGGCGGGAGACGTATATACGACCGGTGGAGGGGTCATAACACCGATATCCCTTGGAGGACGTTTCATATCCGAGGAATATACAGCGTTTGGAACGGGTTTGAAACTTATTTGTGATTTCATGACGAAGACATGGATAAGAGAGGCATCCAAAGACACGGAGAGTGGAGTAGTCAGGGCGTGTGTGATAGAGAGCTTCATATGGGGATTTGTTTTGAAGGGACCGTTTTGGCATGCGATTGATCAAGAAATTGGCGGTAGCTAGAGCTTCAACCCAAAATTTAGCTGGAAGTGAAGCGGTGCACAAAAGGGTCACAAGGGTTTCGACCAAGTGACGATGTTTGCGTCCAGCAACCCCGTTCTGTTCAGGGGTATAGGGACATGATTTTTGGTGAAGAACCCCTAAGCGTTGTAAAAATAACCCAAACTGTTTATTAACATATTCACAACCATTATCAGTTCGAAAGATTTTTATTTGAGTTTGGAACTGATTGTGAATCATAGATTGGAAACTTTGGAAAGCATGAAAAGCATCAGATTTACTCTTAAGTGGATAAAGCCAGCAATATTTAGTATAATCATCAATAAAATTAATGTAAAAACGAGAGCCTCCAAAGGAGGGTACAGAAGTTGGTCCCCATACATCAGAGTGAACTAGTTCAAAAGGAAAAAATGCCTTAGTTTCAGACACAGGAAAGGGAAGCTTATGTGATTTTGCTAGTGAGCAAGAATCACAATGACCGAGATCTTGGA